TAGACGCGATCGTACTGCATGCCAAGCGCGACCAGACCAAGAAGATTTATCTGTAAGTTGTCGGTTAATATGTCGCCGACCTTGTGCTTGCAGCTTTCGCGTTTTTCGTTGACCTTCGCAGCCCTTGCGTGTTGACAACATTTGTTGAGCGTCTGCCCTGATGTCCTCTTTGGCAGCGCTCGAACCACGGTTTTCTCTTTCAAAAAATTTCTGAAAACATCATAAAGCACTTTTCCCGAAAAAAAGTTCTTGCCTTGACAGCTCATAGTTTGTGGTCCACCATAATAAAAGAAGATCAAAAGTGGTCCGAAACAATGCGCACTTTTTCTATACAAAGTACTTTTTATTCAAAGAGCTTCTCGTATTAATACCGCGAGAGACTTTATAATCTGAGGTGTACCGTAGATAACTCGTACTTATCCAATAACCAACTCCAACGACTGGCTGGGAATGTCGAGCCAAATTCCCAAACAGCTCCAGCAGTCTGGATTTCAACCACAGGTGAAGAAACGTTCTCTAAGTTTCCAAAGTCCCAATATCCTGTGTGATCGAGATGATAGGACAAGCTTCTTTCCCCATACGACCGACGCTGAGTACAGCTGAAAGACCCGACGTTCTTTTGCCAGGACATTGGTGCTAGTTTGATCGATCCGATATGATGCATTTGTGCATGTTTTGTATTGTGCTTGTATATTTCTAGTTGTGCTGGGTTGTGCGTGCGGATGAGGATGACACTCAAACTTAGGACACCTTCCGAGAAGCAATTGCTCCGTGTGGACTGCTGTTGTATTCATACTGCCTGAGTCCGCATTTTGCTTCACTATGTGCATCTTTCTTTGTGTATGAGCGAGGATGAAAGAAAGGATATCTGTGTTTGTTTGAGGCGATCATCGTGTTGCTGCTGAAAACAAAATCACTTTCTGCTGCCTTCCAACTGAGCTTGCCTGTTAACTGTTGTTTCCTGTGAATATGTGTCGTGTGAGAAGGTGATGATTCAAAAATGCATAGTTCAACTGAACGCTCCCAAGGCTGCTGTTGATAACATTCCATCAAAGTCTTTCGCTCCTATCTGATTCTCAACGACCAAGTAGTGCATGTTTTGCGTGTGGTGTGTTCGTGGGTTGTGCTCTGCGAAGCGAGAAGGAGTGATGAATCTGACAAAATGGGAATCTCTCTGAAGGGCTGTAGTGGCTCGCAAGGTGTAGAGAAACATTAGTCATCCTTGCACTGACCTTCTCGACTCGTAGCACGGGTACTACGTTGCATCGCGATTGAAATGATGTTTACAAGATAATCCAACTCTGAAGCCTATGTGTAGATTGAAAATCTAAGAGCTTTTTAACCCTGATCAATCGCAACCAAACCAATATTCTTCGCATTCGTTTTGCATCGTGTGGTAGCCCGTTAGAGCATACTACGCTTGCATAATTATCTCTCGTTGAACGCAAGAAAGGCAACGGTATAACAATTCTTTCACAGTCATACTGTGCCAGTCGATGATTTCACTTAGCTTAATGCGCAATAGAACTCAACCAACCCGAACACGGACAAAACTCTTTGCATCTGTACATTTTCTGAATTCAAACTTTTTTTTCTTTACATCACATTCTGTATGATAAGTTGTTGGCGAAGTCATGGAAATCGGGAAACTAACGCTGCATTTTACTGCCCGACAGTACATTTTTTAATACGATACAGTCGAACGTTATTCCTGCAGTTGGAGCATTTACGAAGGTGGATTAACGCGAATGCTGATAAATAGTCTTGGCATCTGTACATCGGTCGTTTTACAGCGCGTTGTTCAGTGTGACAACCAGCAGTGCGTCCATCAGGCCCTTGACACCGAGACCACGCCCTTCTGCGTGTCCAGCTGCTAGTCCTCGCAATCGGTTGCTGTGCTCGAAGTGGTTGTTCTCCTGAAACCTCACATGCCGGTGTTCTCTACACTGTTTCAGGTACGCGGTCATTCGTCGTTTGTACATGAACATCTCTTCGTCTCCGCAAGTTGGAGCCTCCACCACGTCTTCGATCCAGGCCAGGCAGTCGTTTGCACAGGTCTCTTCGTCGTCCTTGCTGGCTGCGGACAGGTCGAAGGTCAATGCCACCACGCAGGTCGACGGAACACTCGAGGCCTTGCTGCTGGAGCCCGCATCCGACTCCAATGTCGCGCGGATAGCCGCAATTTGCGTCTGCACTTGTTGCAGCTCAACATTTGAGCACGCGGAAGATGTCGACGTGGATGCTGCTGTTCCAAGGCTACGCCCGGTAACGCAAAGCGCAGAAGCAACTACTAGAGTGATGGTACGGAGTGACGGCATTGTGGTGCAGGTCTGTTCCGTTGGAGGGAAGATGAGAAGTGAATCTCCTCGAGAGCTGAGTTCGACTGGCCAGATTGTAGACAGGCTTGTCCATTTTGCACAGAGTAGGACGTCTTATTCTCTGGGATGTTCGTAAATTAACCTTGCCCTATATGGGTGAAATTGTTGAAATATCTCAAAAAGTGATTTTAATCCTCACATTGGAACGATAAAACCCAACACCCTATGTCAATTTCAGATAGCCAGCCAGCCATACTGTATGTGTCCAACACAACCGCCTCAGACGTCGAATCCGTCGCTATCTTGCTATTGCACTGCTAGGCAGCCTGTGCTCAGCATTGCTTTTGGATACATCCACACTTCGCAGTAGCAATGTCTGCGCCGTGCGCCATGACGCCGACTTCTGGATGATATGGCAGGACAACTTCATGTATATTGAATTGTTCGCTCATCATACCATGAATGCGATTAAGCTCCTGGAGCAACGCAGAAGTCAGCATTTTCATCAATACAGTGCGGGGCCATCACAAGCTTTTTGCAATCTTACGCATCAATCCAAGCCATT